TTCAGTATTTGATGTCTCTTGTCTGTACTCTGGCATTGTAGCCCTACCTTGCATTGAAGAAACCACCTTCTCCTTATGAGGAATGGAAGGACCTTCATCTTCAGTCATCTTTTAACATACCTAGTGCAATGCAGTGGGCCCTCACTGTAATGTTTCTGTCTTGCAGGCCCGCCTGACCTGCCCATGCTGTAACATGCGCAAAAAGGATGCTGTGCTCACAAAGTGTTTCCATGTCTTCTGTTTTGAGTGCGTGAAAACACGCTATGACACTCGGCAGCGTAAGTGCCCCAAGTGCAATGCTGCCTTTGGTGCCAACGACTTCCATAGGATCTACATCGGTTGATTCTTTCCACTGGAGTGACGGAAAGTTGCCGCTTACGCTGACCACCTAGCCTCCTGCACTTTCTGTGATTGTCACCTTTGGGGCAGTCAGTGCTTCTGTCAGCTGATCTGCAGTCTCTTCTGGGAAGTGTGGTTAGGGTATGGAAAGAAACAGATTCTGGATCTTGGTTCCTTTCTTGTCCCTTTTCTTTTATTCTTGCCCTCAGTTTTTGTGGATTCTTTGTGCCTGAGAGGACATTTCCCATCCATCACTCACACTGCCAAGTTGGGAACATCTAACTGAAGTCCTGCCTTGATGAGATGGAAGCTGTCTATGGTGCAGCAGAGATAAATGAGGCCTTTATTTCAGGAGTTTGCTTTGGATGTTAATTATTAAATCCCATCAAGGTATAGTGGCATTTCTGAGAGTGAATAGTTTCCCAGTTAAAGGGCCAAATAACGAATGAACAGGTACATCTGTAGACTTCAGTGGAGTGACTCCTTAGACATCTATGTTCCTGAGTCAGGGCAAGAATCTGTAAAGGCTGGTGCATTAGTAAACATCCTCCCTACCCCCAAAAGCAAATGCACATCTTATCTTTCTGCTCTTCTGGATACTAAGATGTTGGAGAATCTTTGACAGTAGCATTCCACTGATGAACCCTGGTTGATGTGGACATCTTCCCCTAGGTTGAGGCATTGCTATCATTGTCCTTAGTTTCCAGAAAAGAATCTGTAGGGGTTACTTTGTTGCAACTTTGCCACAAAGAATAATCTTGTAATGCACAAAATCTAATAAAAGCTGTTGTCTGGGTTATTTTTCTGGTTTTCTTGCTTCTGGTAGTATATGTCTGTGCTCCTGTCCTCTGTCCAGTTATTGGAAATGTTTTTCACAAGCTTTAAGCTTCTAGAGGTATTTTTTTCTTCCTTCCTCTGCTTCCAAAAAATGGTTAACTAAAAGAACCTTTGTCCTTTTGGCGGTATCTTCACTACCTTATTCCTGGCACAACAGAAGAACCAAGATGCTGGACTATTTATGCAGTCATTTTGTCATGGCTGCTGGGAATTTTGTGAAAGGACATGGCATGGGTTGTAGTCTCTATGCTCCCTGTAGTGTAAGGCTGTATTTGAAGTCTGCTCCTAAAATCAAAATGCAAAGTCATTTATTTACAACATTCCTTCATAGGGCATAGTGTTTTTCCTGTAAACTTAACTTTCTTGGAAGGTGCAGCTGTCAGGTTTGTCTCATCTGTGTCCCTTCTCTGAATCATAAAATCTGTATTACCTTTCTGTATTCAATGTAGGAAATAATAGAAACAATAGTAAAGTGAAGGCAAGTCATCACAGACTGTCTTTATAGTATGCATTATTATTTTTATCTTTCTGAAAACATTCAGAAAATATTAATTAAACCTTGTAAATTATGAATCCTGAAAAGTGAGAAGGAACGCATGACCCTATCTTTGCAAGGGAAAGCTGGGATGCTGAGAGTTTGTGGTATGGCTTTGGTTCTGTTACAGCGTCTGTAGAAGAAATGAAAGCAGAATCCTCTCTGCTTTCTCTGGAAGTTGCTCCCTGGATCACAGTTTGTGATGTCAAGTTGGAGAAAGAACAGTGTGTTAGGAATACTAATGCTGATGGTAGATTTTGTGGTACAAATGTTTGTTCATCAAAACCAGGACCTGGGTCACCAACAAACATTGTCCGGATCTTCAAACAGCTTTGCTGTAACAGCAGACTTCCTTTTACAGCTGTGAACAACAATCTGAATTAAACAGTCCTTGTAGAGGTGCAAAGCCCCTTTACCCTTTCACAGTCATTAAGTCACATCACCCTTCTACTGAAAATCAAGTTTGAAATTTTGTGTGTGTACAAGCAGTGTTGGGTTCGCTCTGGCCATGGTAGGAAACAAACGCTTGAAACCGTCTGGATTTGTTTCACAGATGAGGTTTGGAAACTCCTGTTTTCTCTTTCCCCACCAAGAAAAATGTGTTTTCTTATTTTAAAATAATATTTTATTTTAAGCTCAGGAAGTCCTTGAAGCTCATTCTGGAAGTGACTAAATTTCTCTCTCTGCTTATAATTTAAACATTGAGAAACAGTGAAAATTTTAGGTGGTCTGTTTTGACTTGCCAGAATAAGTGGAAATAATTAAAAGTTTATCAAGACTAGAATTATTTCGGGGTAAAAGAAGGGAAGGTGTGACAAGTATTCTTTATCAAAAATATGTCTAAATTAACTGTCTGAGCCAGAGTAATTAAGTGTCGTCAAAGAAAAAGCCTCATCTACAGTCTCCAGTGCCTCTTTATGTCATAGCCAATCCTCCCCGTTTATGCAGTCTGCAGGCATTGACGTGTGTGATGCTCCCCATCCCATAGAAAGCTACGGCAATCTTTTTTTCTGTCTCCTATGGGATCGGGCTGGAGCAATATTTGAGTAAGAAAATAATATGCCAAAACGTGTCTCTGTTGGGCAACAATAACTTGGACCTTCTCCCAAAGGGCTTCTAGTTGGTGCTACAGTTTTTTGGAGCAATCCCTATTTTACATTTGACATGGGAGTAGCCCCTAAGGCACCCACCAGAAATACAGATTTTTGCTTAATGTTAATTATTAGGTGGTTGACATTTTTTCACTTAATTTTTTGTTTTTAAATGAAGAGTGATTTGTTGAAAGATTGGGTATGTGAATTGGAACTCTGAAATAAAACATTTTTGTTTAAGATATCACTAGCATTTTCAATTACTTTAAAAAAAAAAACCCACACTTTTTCTGGGCTTATGCATGTAGAGATAAGGACATAACTGTTGATAAACGTACTGATAAAATTGGGCTGATATATTTCTTTCCTAGTGTTTGTCTCATAATAATGAAGAGAGCAGTGTTCATCTGTTCTAACCAAATTACGTTGGAGGTTGTAAGGTACTGGATGCTACACAAATAAAAAGCTCTTCCCAAAAAGCTGATTATTTAAATGAGGGAGGGTAGGGGTAGGCAACAAAAGCAACCTAAGTGACTTGCCTGTAGTCATCCAGCTTGTCAGGGGCAAGGAAAGAAGGGACATCCTAGGTCTTTCAGACCTATCTGATGTGCGGGGCTCTGCATCCCACTTTCCTGTTCTATGTCCTAATTACTCTTTCCTGTGTTACTGACTGTATTGAAAGAAGCAGACGCACTTGCTGCCCAAAAGCAGAGGCCAAGGACGGAGCAGGGAACAGAATATGAACTCCTCTTGATGAGGCTAATTAGCGTGGGTATTGCTGCTATCAGCTTTTAGTGGTCCATGCAGAGCTTTTAATTTGCAGGTGTTTTTCAAAGGTTAAAGGTGCAAAAAGGTGGAATGCCTGGTGAGAACATCACCCTTGGCAACATTCACGCAAGTGGCTAGAGATACAGGGAGGGTAAAAATGACTTTGGTGATGTATGTGGGAGACCAGAGTTAATTCTGACAGTGATACAAACATTCTTTTTCTCTGTAATACGGGATGTGTTGGGAAATGGTGTTTAAAAATCCATACAAATCTCGTTTAAATAACACAGTCAGTTGGGTTGATGCAGTATTTATTCAGATGCTGAACAGCTTGCCCTTCCTTCCCCTCTACTCATCACCCAGGTGGGAGGGAGCTCCACTCAGTACATTGCCTTTGAAACCGTAACTCTCAGTTCTCCTTCACAGTGAGCCCTGGTCCACAGGGAGGCTTTGGTGACTGCCTTTGACTTTGGTGGGATCTTGGTGTCAGAATAAATCATGGACCAGAGCCCCTTTATGTCACTTTGTCTGTGAGAAAGAACCTTATTGTCAACTGAAGACAGAGAATATTAAGGGAGTAGTTTCACACTGGTAAATGCTTCACCTTGGGCGGTAAATACTGATTTACAGTACTGCCACCCCTCCCTTCCCCTCATCCTTGCTCTGTGCCACCGTGAACCCATCCCCTCACACCTGCTGGTGCAGCTGTTTGCATGGCTTCTCTCTGGGTGGGAGTGGAAGCCGAACCTGGGCTCAGAAGCAGACAGAGGTGGTGATTTGGTTTTTGCCAAGTTATTTTTAAGCTGGGTGAGTTCCTTTATCACGGTCACAGAGCAGCCACATCTGCATTTGTGCTGACAGAGCTGAGGGAATGGTGTGTACTGGGATTGCCACCAAGAATTTGTCTCATGAAACCACAGCCTGTGCCAGGAGGGAAGGGATTGCCAACATAGAACTAGCACCTGGTGTAATAAGGCAACCATAAGGAGCCTTAGCGTGAACGGAGACTAGACCTGTAGATATCACAACAAAAACATACCAACAAGGGACATGCTTCCAATGAGCAGTTTAAATTTCCTTTTTTTTTTTCTTTTTCTTTTTTTTGAGTTAGTGCACAGAAAGGGCTAAAAAGTGGGAACCTCACTGTACTGTCAAGTGGAGGAACCAGGAACTCTCGCTGTTCAGATGCTCCTTGTTTCTCCAGTCCCTTGGAATGGCTGATGTTTGCCAGGAGAATGAGAAATTTGTTATGAAAGGAGGAGGACTCTGGAGGGTGGCAGTGGCTGTGGGCTGCTGCAATTCTGCTCGCTTGAAGAGCATATTGCCTGCTTTATTTTTGCACCTCTTTCTGGCATTACAAAAGTGTGTTACAAATTTTACAGAGGAAGGGGAGAAAGGAAGAAAAGGGGAAAGGGCCCAGGTATGCTGGCCTAGGGCTCTGCAGTCCTGTTTGTCCTCTGATACTCTTCCAGCTCTGATTTCCTGTCCATGGCGAGTTGCAGCTCCTGCTTGATGATTTCGATCTGCTTCTCCAGCTCCATAAGCTCTTGCATCACTGAGGTCCTAGGAATATTGAGGGACTCTGCTTTCCCGTTGGTTGTTAAAGAAGCCGGAGTCTCTCTCCTCACCTGGGGCAGGGGGATGTCTTGGTGCTGTCGGATTGTCACTTCATTTTGCCCTTCATCGGTGCAGATATATTTTTTCCGGTGACAGTTGCCCAGATTGGCTGTATTCCATACAGCATGCTGGCTGTTATCTACGTGGGACCTGAACAGACATGTGAGAGTTAATATGAAATCAGAGCCTGCTCTTATGTGTATGCAACCCTCCCTGTGAGCCATCCTACTGGAAAAATATGGCACTGCTCTTATGAATTACATAGAAATAGTATTCTTTTATCCTTAGAATTATTTTCCTTGAGAAGCACAAATCATGAACATAAACAGCCAAATTTTTGTGATTAAACCATAGCAGAGACTAGAACAGAATCCTAAAATTCATCTTCCCAAAAACTGTTTTTTTGTTAGTTATGAAATGACAGTCCTCTCAACTCCAGCTCAGGAAAATGCGAGTCCTCCTCCAAAGCTTTCTGAAAGCTTTTGTGGTTGCAATATCCTAAGTTCATTACAGCGGTAGTCCTTCGTGTGTTAGTACTCTGTGCTAGCTTGGGCATTTATTCCCATGATGGGGGAAAGAGGCTGCCTAGAGTTGGTGTGGAGAGATGAACGGGAAAGTGTGCCCTTTGGACTTGGAAGTCTTGTGGGGTAGCTGCTTGCGCTTTGGGGGATGGACACGATGAAGCGTATCTAAACCTTGCAGTGTACAGACATGAGCTTCCTGACAAAATAAATAGAATTTGGAGTTTTCATGTTGGGGGAAAAATTTCTATTTGGGAACTTTTTCAAATGCTTCAATGTTTTCCTGCAGAAAAGTCTTTCCAAAATATTTTGATTCCAGAGCATCTTTCCCCTCTTTCTTGGGAACTTCACCCTGCAGCCCTCCCAAATCAGGGCGTTTCCCAGGGTTTATTTCTGAATAGAGGAGCACCCTGTGGCCTCTGTTCTCCAGCTGGAACATAAGGAAGCACAGAGTTTGCTGTTGTGAGAGAGGAGGTTGGTTTTTCTACCTGCTTTACCTTTTGGATAGATCTGTGTGCATTCATTTTATAAACTGAAGTTAAAACTCTTAAGTAGTTGCTCTTAAAACTGCTCCATCATTGAGGTCTTCTGTGGGTATCCTTGGACAAAATGCCTTTTAGTGTGAGCTACCAATCGGCAGGTTAGGGAAAAGGATTAACATTTCAGGATTGGGATTGCTGAAAACAGTTGGTTTAGAGGAGGCGTCCGAAGCTGGGAGTAGATACTTTTCTCACCTGCCTGCAGAGAAGGAAGTTGGAAAGTGGAAATTTCTTTAAAGGAGGTAGCGATCAGGAGTGTTTTCAAAAAGATGGGATGGCAGAGAGGGAGGAGGGGAGGCTTTAGGCAGGAGTGGCAGCCCCAGCCTGGGTCACGCTCTGCAGGGCTCAGGGAACCCCAGCGGGGATGTGTATGCAGGGTTGTTTATTTTTGTGTAGATCAGCGATTTTCTCATACTTCAAAATAAAAGACAGGAAGACTCTCAAGTCTTGTGCTAAACTGGATGTGTGTTTTGTGATGCAATTATGTTAATCCCCTGAAGAGATGAAAACAAACAAGTACCTCTTAAGCACGTTTCAGACAGGGAATAGGATTAGCCTGGGCCAGTAGAAACTGGCAAAGCATTTCCAGGGCCAAGAGCAGAATCCCACCACGCTGCATTTCCACACAGCGGTCTAGACAAAAAAGGTCACCTGGCACAAAGTGGAACTACTGACAAGGGGCTGTGGTGCCCAAAGCTGTCTCCCTGCTGTATAGCTCTGCAGAGCCCATGGTCCCCAGGGTCCTGGGCAGCCAGTGCGACCAACTCGCCTTGGAGCAGAAGTACATGTCTCGGAGAAGCTGCAGCCCTTTGTTTTGTAAATATTTCTGAGAGTCGTATCATTAATCCACAATTTCTGATACATTTTTCTTTCAGAAATCAAAACACAGCTTTTTGATCAGTGTTAGTAACTGACATAGCTTCTGCTGCTGCTGGCGGCGGTGCTGTTGTCTGGGGGTGTGGGCAGGTGGTTTCAACAAAGGCCAGAGTCCACAGTTAACACTCAAGTTTCGTCAAGTAAATGAAACCCTTCACAATTTGGCCACAGATGCTGAGCAGCTCTCATAATTTTTGGAAAGTTAGGACCTGAAAAAAAACCCAGTGGATTTTCTTCCCTGAGGGAAATAGCATAATACAAATTCTTTCCACCTCTTTTCTATATCTTGGTGTTTTTAATAGG